CCTCAGCAGATGGCCGCTCACACTGAGCCTGGTTCTGCTGGAGGTTTCTTCCTGTTAAAAGGGAGTTTTTCCTCTCCACTGTCGCTTCAAGTATGCTTAGTTTGAGGGATTGCATTTTAGTCAATGAGTCGATGCAATCAACTGGTTTTCCTTGGATAGAAAACTTTGAATGAATTGTATTGTATAATCTGGTGAACTGTAAAGTGCCTTGAGATGACGTGTTGTAAATTGGCACTATAGAAACAAAATTAACTGAATAAAACATTTTTAAAAATTGTCCAGCCCAAACCAAAACCAACACTTTACAAAGATACCTGACTTAAACTAATATCAACCAAGACTAGAGCCAAACCAACACTAGACAAGACTAGACCTACACCAAACTCATAGTATACCAGGCTGGATTAAACCCGACCCAAACTAACACATAACAAGATCAAGAATTAAACAAAGCACATCCACAAGGAGCGTTTACTCACCACAATACGGAAGGGGCTGTTGGGAATGTTCTCCCCTCCGAAGCGGATAGTGATGATGTACTGGCCGGGCTCCGGAGCCGTGTAGTAAATATCAAATGTTCCGTCTGCATTTTCCACCACGTCCACATCCAGCTCCGCCCCGTCCGGCGTCGACACCTTACAGGTAACTTTACCTTTGCCTGCAGCCTTTGCATCCACTGTGATGACCGTCTCTTCTCCGATCTGGATAGTCGGGCCAAGACCTGAACCTGGCGAAGGAGCAGCATGTTGGTGTTGATACTGACCATCCTAGTGGAAACTGTTCAGGCTTTTCACGTTGAAGCTCAGAGCTTCACGTCAACAAAGTGAGCTCATTTTTGAGTCTATCAATAAATTTAGCTGTATTCTTTTTTAAAGTTAAAGTTTTTTATTTAAGTTTTCCTTTTAGTGAAAGTTCTCATAAAATCCTGTTTTCTTATCATGAATCTCATGTGGGCACCAACATACAAATGTGTTTTTAGACATTATAGAAATTATTCTTTTTTTTCTACACTGCAAAAAATGGAAATCTAAGTAAGTCAGTTTTTCTTAAAATAAGAGCATTTTTTCTTGAACTGAGCTGGACAGTGAGACACTTTGCCAAAGGAATAAGAACATTTACATCTTAAATAAGAAAAAAAAAACAGCAGTCTTTCATTTCAAGTGCATAATATCTAATTATCTATTTTTAAGGGTCAGAATACTTATTCAATTGGTTGATTGTAATCTTTACCTACTCAAATTATGGATAAATACACTTATTGTAAGACATTTTTTACTACTTTTTAGATAATTTTTTGCAATGTAATACTTCAGTAATGCATCTACTACAAAAAGGGTTTTATTTAAAAAAAAACATGCCTCCTGTGATTTCTACATAAACTGCAAAAACAATCTAAAAATAAGTAAAAAAAAGTCTTTAATTGATTGTATTTACCTTTAATTTGAGTAGGTGAATAAGATGATCTGCCAATGGAATGATGATTTTATTCTTAAAACAAAATAATTAGATAATATGTACTTGAAATAAGATTTATTTTAAATTTTTAATGTGAATTGTAAAATGGCAAAGTGTCTCACTTACCACCTCAATTCAAGAAAAAATGCACTTATTTTAAGTAAAAAAAATACTTATTTAGATTTCCTTTTTTTCTTGTTCCCGGGGGCCCCATAAAACTCAGTTTACATGTATGGTTAATACAGCTAACCCCTTATTTGTGCACATTAATTACATTTTTGATAAAGATCCTTTCGCTAAAATACCATCAGAACGCTTATAATATTGTGTCCACCATATTGGATCAGTCCATTTGCTGCACATGTTCAGAAAGGTCCAAACAGGCAGCAGCAAACCATTTGAAAACAAACAATGTGAAGAGCAGTGTGGCTAACTTAGCACTTTTGTCGCTATATTTAGCGACTTTTACGACCTCTCTTGTACTTTTATTTCAAAAAAGCGCCTA